AAGAAACCTACACGAGTTGAAAAGTTTATAAGGATAGCTAGCCTTCATCAAACGCTTCATCTCTAACCTTGTTGAACGCTGTCAACCCTTTAGTCGACTCATAAAGAATGACGCTCCATTTTTATGGGATGACGTCTACCACAATGCCTTCTAGAGCATAAAACGGTACCTGGCAAGCCCACCTGTCTTAGGAACACCTATGCCTAGAAAGCCGCTCATCCTGAGGGTTTCATTTGAGCACTCTTACTGTAAGAAAATGAAGACCAAAAGGAAAGAGAACTTTATTACATAAGTAGAACTATCACTGGCGCCGAGCTCAACTATTCACTGATTGAGAAGATTCTTAGCTACCACCGTAGCGGTTATGTCATTCTCAATCATAGAATCCCCAACTGTAAGATGACCATTAAGAGATAAGAAGGATGGGTGCCACATATTATCTTGAGGAGGCATCCCTGCATCTTCCACAACATTCAAATCAAAACGATGGTCAAATGGGAGTGAATAATCTAAAAAAATATGAACTCCATTTATGTTACACACACTTCCTTTTATAGAGGAAGTGCAAGGCAAAGTATGGGTAAAATGGAGTAGTGTTGAAATGATTCAAAGGTGAAAGTGGAGTAATGATGCAAAGCATGGGTAAAATGGAGTGGTGTTGAAATGATTCAAAGGTGAAAGTGAAGTAATGATGCAAAGCATGGGTAAAATGGAGTGGTGTTGAAATGATTCAAAGGTGAAAGTGGAGTAATGATGCAAAGCATGGGTAAAATGGAGTGTTGAAATGATTCAAAGGTGAAAGTGGAGTAATGATGCAAAGCATGGGTAAAATGGAGTGGTGTTGAAATGATTCAAATGTGAAAGTGAAGTAATGATGCAAAGCATGGGTAAAATGGATGGTGATGAAATGATTCAAAGTAATGATGCATGAAATCTGAAATGATGGAGGGAACAAGGAATGGTGTAGCAATTAAGTGCAAGGAGGGAACATGGATGATGATAAGGTAATCTTGACTCATGTTTCTTCTTTGGTTACTGAGCTCTTTGTCATTTTTACATTAATTCTTCTTTCTTTTTAACACATTCCAAGCCTCTTTAGTCTTTAATTTCGTCCATCCACCTTGCTCCATGCATGTGCTATCCATTCCAAGCCCAAAATTGCTCCAAAATGCACCTTATTGCTTTATAAGGCCTATGGACCTACAAACACACGAAAATAGCTTAAAATACATAATTAATAAGAAATAACAACATAAATGCATAAGAACAAGCTAACTCAATCGCATAAATATGCTCCTATCAAATTCCCCCACACTTAGCTTTTGCTAGTCCTCGAGCAAAACAAAACAATGGAACAAACAAAACATAACATATACCTTCCAACATTTGCCTCAGGAATTTTCAATGAAACATGACATGCCAAAGATCACCACTCACATAGATTTAAGTGATCCTTACCCTCGAGCATACTTGATCATAGTCACCATTCACTAGCTCACATTTAATCAATTAAAACAGCATTTTGAATGTAGTAACATGCCTTAGAGAATTCCTTCAATTTCTTACAAGATACTCTCTATTTTCACACACATTTTCTGACTACACACCCTACACTAGTATATGTGAGAAGATTAATGTAAACACAAAAGACTAGGACTCACATATGTTATAACAAAGAAAGCAATTTTCTGCAGTTATTAAGCATGTTTAGATATGATCTCATGAATGGAATGCTACTACTTAGATATGAGAACCAGTGACACCATATGCTCATACCAATTTCGAACTCCACAAATTGAAACACACAACACTCAAGATTGAAGTCAAGGGTTGTAACAGGGCTTGGGGGTAATGGCTAATAAAGAAAGGATAGGAATAACAAACGTTCTTAAAGCGATAGCAAGCAAATCAATGAAATAGACAAGGGTATGAATGGTCCTAAAACTAGGCTAGGTAAGGATAGTGTGGATTAACAAAGAACATAGGCTTAACAAAGCTCAACAGGGTTAAACTTAAACACAAAATGAAATAGGGGCACGACAATTTGGCTTTGGTGGTCACTACACAACTTCATCTTGAATATGTGTTATGCAAATCAATAGCATGCTTTGAATGAAATAGGCATGAGTTCTAGCATTTGGAACTAAATGATGAAACGCCTTCTAAGTAGCAACCAAGCGAAGAGTAATGAGATCATGCAACGACTTTAGGAAACAATGATGCACAGATTATTAACTCTCCAAATAAACGTTTAGGCTCAAGTCTCACAAGGTTGTAGCGTTCATTTGAGTTTCTTCCTTCAAGCATGTTACAAAAACTGATTTTTCCTTTATGATTGCTGTGAATTCATAAATTATAACCACAACCAAGCATACACCAAAGAGTAAATCAAATTTTTATCCATGTTTATAACTCTCTTTAACAGTCATGTAATTAAAAACCAAATCCTCATCATTGTGTTGGAAGGTACCCAAAGACACAAATAAACACACAAAAACAACTCTTTTGGGTTTTTCAAAACAATTTTTCAAATTTTTATGAGATTTTCGGATTTTTATATCAAAACACATTAAAACACTCCAAAACAGCTTAAAAACACTTTAAAAAAAAAGCAATGAACAACACTAGAAGTAATGGGTGATAAATTTCTACGAATTTCATGCAAAACAATAGTTACCCCCCCCCCACACTTAAATCAAACATTGTCCTCAATGTTTTAAGCATAAACTCACACAAAAACAAGCAAACAAACAAACAACGAATAAACATGACAAGTATAGCAAAGTAAAAACCATACAGAGTAGAGTTTAAGAACGCAAATCTGGTTTTGGAGATAGATGATCTTGTTGACTTTCCACAGCGTTGATCTTGAACTGGTTTGGAATTCTGAGCGAGGAATATTAGAGTTCCTTGGTTGTGCAGTCTGCATTCTTCCCTGCTTGTTTCTTCTGCACGGTAGGCAAGCACGAGGTAGAGGTGATGGTCTGTTTCTTTGTTCAATCTTTCCAAGTGCCCACCTTTTGCTTTCTTTCTCCTTGTCCCTAGCTGAGGATGAATTGGCAAATTATCTCCACATGCTTCGAGGTATCATTTTCACTTCCCTTATCTGTTCCCCAGATAGATGTGGTAGACGAAGAGGAAGCATAAAATGATGAAGATAAGTACTCGAGAGCAAGGCTAGGTAAGCAATCAGGAAGGGGTTCTAGGCAGTCGGTTCCAGATCGGAAGATTGATACCAAGTGCTGGCTGATTGCTCTCTTTCTCCTTGTCCCAAAACAACGACAATGAGAAGGACAGGGAGAAAGCATGATATGAGATACTCTTGCTTTCAACCTTCATGATATGAAATACTCTTGCTTTGGATGAGTTGTTTATCCCAGGGAATAAGGAACACTGAGTGACTCAAGAGGGTTTGTTGGAAAGGCATTCTCAGAGAAGAAGAAGGGTTATGTATGTCTTCTTTGCAATGGAGGGTGAAGGTCGACATTTATATGAATTAATAACCGGTACTATTCTTTCACTTTTGTCGGCAACCGTTGGATAATTGAATAGTAATTTTTCACGTGCTTTCTACGTCACCAAAAAATCTTCGACAGATTGCCCGTAATTTCCGCAAGGCTGAGTGTGCATGTGACAGGTGCTGACACGTCTGTAAAAGCAAGTGCCTCTTCAATATCTGGAATCGGTGCTTCGACAAACTGCCCGTGATTTTCGCAAAGCTGACTCTGCATGTGACAAATGCTGACACGTCTGGAAAAGTAGATGCCTCTCCGATATCTGAGCTTGCCTCTTCGATCTCTGAAATCCCGTCGAGTGCAGAGGTTGCATGTGACAAGTGTGGACAAATCTGGAAAAGAAGATTGGCCGTGGTTTCTGAGCAAGCCCAGCTTTTGAAAAGCTAGCGCCTCTTTGATTTTTGAGTTGGCCTCTTCGATTTCTGAGCTCGCCTCTTCGGTCTCTGAAATCCCGTCGAGTGCTGATTTTTATAGAGGTACGCAGGACGTTTAAAGCACACTTGAATTTCTACTTGTAAAAACTCCCTTCTTGCACTTCTACGATCTTGACTTGTCCGACCTTTTCTTTCTTTAACACCTCTGAAAATGTATGGCCCCTCTGACCGTCGTTTTGACTTGAACCTTGGTGAAGAGGCAGTCCCGCCTTCTCCAGACAACATATGGCGCCCATCCTTCATATCCCCTACTGGTCCTCTTACCGTTGGGGATTCGGTGATGAAAAATGATATGACCGCTGCGATGGTCGCCCGGAACCTTGTCACTCCCAAATAATAGACTTCTTTCCAAACGATCTGATGAGTTGGCTGGTAAGGATTCTCTGGCTCTCAGTGTGCAGTGTGTAGGTTTTGTGTCCAATATGGCCCAACGTCTATTTGCTCGAACCCGTCAAGTTGAATCATTGGCGGCTGAAATGATGAGTCTCAAACAGGAAATTAGAGGGCTCAAACATGAGAATAAACAGTTGCACAAGCTTGCACATAACTATGCTACAAACATGAAGATGAAGATTAACCAGATGCAGGAATCTGATGGTCAGATTTTACTTGATCATCAGAGGTTTGTGGGTTTGTTCCAACAGCATTTGCCTCCGTCTTCTGGGGTTGTACCACGTAGTGAAGCTCCAAATGATCAACCTCTGATACCTCCTCCTTATGTGGCTCTGCCGACTACTGAGACTTCTCCTAAGCAGCCTTTGTGAAGGCTTCCTCTTGTATTTTCTGCTTAATGCTCCTTTCTTTTTTATGAAAATGAATGTAAAAATACCTTGCATAACTGTTAGCGTGTCAAAAATAAACCCACACCAAAAACAATTAAACAAGCAACAAAAAATGACAATCATGGCAAAATAAAACTACAGAAAATGGAAGGTTTTTAGAAACGCAAAACTGATTGTGGAGCATTTCATAGATCTTCCTTAATTGAATACATGGGTTGCCTCCCAAGAAGCGCTTTCTTTAACGTCTTGCAACCGGACGATACCTCCTTTTAAGCTCCATTAGGGCTCACGGCATGGAGGGGTATTTCCTCCACGATATGCTCCTCAAACAGGTCGTAATAGGGCTTCAAACGATGCCCATTCACCTTAAATTCATGGCCGGTTTTCATGCTTTGGACTTGGACTGCACCATGGGAAAAAACATTAGTAATAACAAAGGGTCCAATCCACTTAGAGCGCAACTTACCGGGGAACAACCAAAGGCGAGAATCAAAGAGAAGCACTTTCTGCCCCTTAGAGAATGTCTTTGTACGAAGCATCTTGTGATGATACGCCTTGGTCTTATCCTTGTAAATCCGAGCATTCTCGTACGCCTCATGCCTAATCTCCTCGAGTTCATTTAATTGGAGCTTTCTATGCACCCCGGCGACATCTATATCCATGTTGAAGGTCTTCACAGCCCAATATGCTTTGTGCTCTAACTCGACGGGCAAATGACATGGCTTACCATAGATGAGCCGAAAAGGGGACATGCTAAGGGGAGTTTTGTAGGCCGTACGATAAGCCCACAATGCATCGTCTAAGCGCAAGCTCCAATCCTTCCTTGTTGGCCCCACAGTATTCTCAAGGATTTGCTTGATCTTTCTGTTTGAAACCTCGGCTTGCCCATTGGTCTGAGGATGATAAGGTGTTGAAACTTTATGTGTAACGTTGTACTTTTTGAGCAAAGCCTCAATGGTTCGATTACAAAAGTGGGAGCCTCCATCACTAATGAGAACTCTAGGCATTCCAAACCTAGCAAAAATGTTAGTTTTCACAAAATCTGCAACAACCTTAGAATCGTTACTACGAGTGGCTTTTGCTTCCACCCATTTTGAAACGTAATCAACAGCTAGCAAGATATAAGTGAAACCATAAGATGGAGGGAAATGACCTATGAAATCAATACCCCAAACGTCAAAATTTTCAACAAAGGATAGGGGTTGATGCGGCATTTGATCCTTGGTACCTATGTTTCCCATTCTTTGGCACCAATCACACGTTAGACAATAAGTTCTAGCATCTTTAAACAACGTGGGACAATAAAATCCACATTCAAGAACCTTTAATGCCGTTCTTTGAATGCCAAAATGTCCACCACAAGCATAAGTATGACAAAATCTTAGGATCGAAAGAAATTCACAATCATGCACACATCTACGCAAAATCTGATCAGAGCAATACTTCCACAAATAGGGATCATCCCAAACATAGAAACGTGCATCTTTTCGAAGTTTATCACATTGGTGCTTGGTGAAAGTGCTAGGAACTTGTTTAGACACTAAGTAATTCACTAGATCGGCATACCATGGTTCACTTACCTCAATTGACAGCAGCTGCTCATCGGGGAAAGTTTCAGGGATAGGCACGTTATGCTCATGCTCCTCATGGACCATTCGGCTTAAGTGGTCAGCCACCACATTCTCGCTTCCTTTCTTGTCTCGGATTTCGATGTCAAACTCTTGAAGAAGAAGCATCTAACGAATGAGCCTCGGTTTTGCTTCCTTTTTCGTTAGTAAGTACTTTAAAGCTGCATGATCAGTATAAACAATCATTTTAGTTCCAATTAAGTAAGATCAAAATTTATCTAAAGCAAAAACAACAGCTAGAAGTTCTTTTTCCGTTGTGGAGTAGTTCAATTGGGCATCATTGAGAGTCCGAGAGGTATAGTATATAACATGCGGCTGCTTGTCTTTTCTTTGCCCCAAAACAGCGCCCAATGCATAGTCGGATGCATCGCACATAAGCTCGAAAGGAAGGCTCCAATCGGGAGGAACAATGATAGGGGCCGAAGTGAGCTTCTCTTTGAGCTGCTTGATTGCTGATTCACACTCCTCATCAAACTGGAAGGGCACATCTTTTTGAAGCAGTCGGCAAAGGGGGTTGGATATTTTGGAAAAATCTTTGATGAAACGCCTGTAGAACCCTGCATGGCCAAGAAACGAACGAACCTCTCTAACCGAAGTAGGAGAGGGTAAGTGACGTACAAGGTCTATTTTTTATTTATCTACTTCAATTCCTTTTTCTGAAACAATATGGCCTAAAACTATACCTTGTTTAACCATAAAGTGGCATTTTTCCCAATTCAACACAAGGTTAGTTTTAACACATCGTTTCAAGATCAAGGTCAGATTATCCAAACAATTATCAAAAGACTCCCCAAATACACTGAAATCATCCATAAATACCTCAATTATCTTCTCAACATAATCGGAGAATATACTTACCATACACCTTTGGAAAGTGGCAGGTGCGTTGCATAGGCCGAACGGCATGCGACGATAAGCAAAGGTACCGAATGGACATGTGAAGGTAGTCTTTTCTTGGTCATCGGGAGCTATCATAATCTGATTATAACCCAAATAGCCATCAAGAAAACAATAAAATGAATGACCGGCTAACCTTTCCAGCATTTGATCAATAAAGGGCAGCGAGAAGTGATCTTTTCTTGTTGTAGCGTTGAGCTTCCGATAGTCAATACAAACTCTCCATCCGGTTTGGATTCTGGTGGGCACAAGCTCATTATCTTCATTTTTTACCACAGTGACTCCGGACTTCTTAGGAACAACTTGGACCGGCGAAACCCAATGGCTATCAGAAATTAGGTAAATCACTCAACAATCTAGTAGCTTGATGATTTCCTTCTTCACAACGTCCATCATGGGTGGATTGAGCCGGCGTTGTGCTTCTCTAGATGGTTTGGCTCCTTCTTCCAAGAGTATTCGATGCATGCAAGTGGTAGGGCTAATTCCCTTGATATCGGCCAATGTCCACCCAATGGCAGTTTTGTATTCCCAAAGCACCCTCACCAACTTGTCCTCCTCTTGTGCAGTGAGTGAAGAAGAGATGATGACGGGCAGCGTCTTTTGTTCTCCCAAAAACACATATTTCAAATGGCTCGGCAATGGTTTAAGCTCTAGGGAAGGGGGCTGGATTACAAAAGGAAGCAACTTGTTAGTTGAATTGGGAATTGAAATTAGGTTAGGAGACTTACCAATATGCCTTGGATTTGACTCTAGGGCAGCAACCATCTCCACCAATTCTTCTTGAATATGCATGGCAAGATGTTCCTTGTTGTTGCCGTGTGCATGCCTAAGTGCTAACCCTTCGTTTTTTTAGTCCAATACTTTGCGTTAGAGTCTTTTCAAGTGCATCCTCACTCAAATCATCAAGGAATTGTTGCGCCCAAGAGTCATCACATCAATAGAGAAACAAGAGTGACCATCATGAGGATATCTCATAGCATTAGAAATATTGAAATCAATAACTTCCCCATCAAATTCCATAGTCAATGTTCCCTTGAATACATCTATCTTTATACGGGCAGTCTTCATGAATGGTCGGCCAAGTAATATTGGTAATTGAGGGGAATGGTTCGAGTCTTCCATTTCAAGCACGTAGAAGTCCATCGGAAAGACTAGGTGATTCACCTGCACTAAAACATCCTCCAAAACACATTTTGGATAAGCATTAGATCTATCGGCCAGTTGAATGATCACTCCATCATTTTTTTAATTCTCCCAAGTTCATAGATGCATATATTGAATAAGGCATGACATTTATTGATGCACATAGATCTAACATGGCAGATTCAAAGCGAGTATTTCCTATAACACAAGGAATTGTAAAACTGCATGGATCTTTGCACTTAGGAGGTAATTTTTGTTGCAACACAGCTGAGACATTCTCACTTACCCTTACCACCTCTTTGTTCGAAGCCTTCTTCCTTGTAGTGCACAGCTCCTTCATGAACTTAGCATACTTAGGGACTTGTTTAATTGCATCTAGAAGTGGAATGTTGACTTGCACCTTTCTGAATGTGTCAATGATGTCTTTGTCACTCTCATCCTTCTTTGATTGCATAAACCTGCAAGGAAAAGGTGTATTGGTTGGAATAGAATTAGAAATCATGGAAATTGAACCCAACTTACCTTTGGTTGTCGAATTAAGGTGTGTAGGTGGCTACGGCAAAGATTGCTCAATCCTTGCCAAGGGCAGGCCTTGTTCCTTCTCCTCAGATTGCATATTTTCGTCCTCATTTTGAATGGATTTAGATGGGCTGGGATCAGATCCAACTTCTTGTCCATTTCGCAAGGTGATGGCTTTGGCAGATTCGAAGCCTCCATTTGGATTAACATCCGTCGAACTAGGTAACTTACCTGGCTCTCTACTAAATTGCCCCATGAACTCAGCCATTTGTCTCATCTGTCTCTTCAATTCAGTCACCTCTCGAGCTTGATTTTGCACTTCCTTGGCATAATTGTGCATATCTTTGGCTTGATTTTCCTGACCATTCGCCAACGTAGTTAGTAACTGAATAACTTGAGCATTATCAAAAGACGAACCTGAGTTATTTTAAGCAGGTTGTGTTTGGGGTTGTACGGGTGCATACGACCTTTGATATAATCCCGGAGGTTGCTGTCTGAATGCACTTTGTTGTTGGGTTTGTTGGGGCTCTCTCCATTTGAAATTTGGATGATATCTCCAACCTGGATTGTATGTATTCGAGAACGGATCATTCCTTAGTTAGTTTTGACTCCCAAAACCCACGGCGTTGGTAGATTCCCACCCTCCGTTCTCGATCAATTGAGGGTTCTTATCCTTGAGATGTCCATTCATTGAGCACACACCATAAGCAGTTACACTTTGTTCTTTTGGTTTTTCAACCACCTGTGAAAGAAGAGTAGTAAGATTAGTCATTTGATTTTGAAGTTCCGAAATAGCACTTACCTCATTAACTTGTTGCTGTCGTGGGTTGTCTCTTTGACCAACGCCTTCATATTATTGAGCATTCAATGCTCGGTTAGCAATTAAGGTCTTGGCAGCCATGGGTGTTTTCTCCACCAAAGCTCCTCCCGCGGAGGCGTCTAGCATTTGGCGTTCAATTGGTAAAAGCCCTTCGTAGAAATATTGAAGAAGAAGCTCCTCCTTCATCTGGTGTTATGGATATGAAGCAAAAAGTGTTTTAAAATGCTCATAGTAAGTGGGAAATGATTCACCTTGGTTTTGCTGAATGCCACTAATCTTTTTGCGTAGTAGAATGACTCGAGAAGTTGGGAAAAACTTCTCCAAAAATGCCTGTTTCATACTCTCCCATGATGTGACAGTTCCGGGGGCTAGCTCATACAACCAATCTTTAGCCTTTTCCAAGAGAGAAAAGGGAAAAGCCTTCATTTTCAGAATGCTCCCATCAACATTCACAGGGGTCATGCTTGAACAAACAACCTCGAACTCCTTCAAATGTTTATTAGGATCTTCCATGGACAACCCATGGAACTTAGGAATATGGTGCAATAAACTGGACTTTAATTCGAACTCGTCGGTCTTGTTTTGGGCCACCCTTGGATATTGAATGCATAAAGGCAGAGCATTGTCCAATCCCGAAGTGGAAAGCTCCTTGATT